TTGTCACGCAGCTGTCAGCTTCTAGTATTTGAGATGGCGTATCTAGTAACCCGCTGCCTTCATTTTCTGTGCATGCCAGAACTGCGTGGAATGAGACTCCCATGTGTTTTTAGAGGCTTGCAGCTATTTCTGAATTCTCACCATTCCTCTGCTTTCAGTAAAATTGGGTTCCAGTAGGATTTTGGAAAGCAATGGGCACAGATTTTTTTGCTTGCTTGTTCTGCTGTTTTTAATACCAGCTTCTAAATTCTAGTTCATTTTCCCAGTTTGCTCTTCTGGTCTGTTCTCAGTCTGCATTATTCATCTTTCTCCTCCTACTTCCTTTAGTCACTGAACTCCCTTGGCCCTCGGCTCTTCATTCTGATCACCCGGTCTTTGGAACAATAAGCTTGTTGAGACCAAGGCCCTGCTTTCCTTTCTTGTTTTCCAAGGATTATTCTTCTGTCAAGCTTGGGCAAACTGTCACTGTGAACATAAATGCTGTATGTTACCTCTTTTGCTATCTCAAGTGTGTGTGTGATGTGAAAATGAGATGTGTTAAGCAGTCTTACCTCTAGAGGTAAGTTTTATTAGATAACCTTTATTATGATCATGCTTATTATTTCCTGGAACTAGTGTGATGTTTTAGACTTTTTTTTCTTCTTTCCTTCTTGAGATATGTTTAGAAAAAAATGCTGATGTAGTCATGGGCCTTTGAGCATTGTAGAAACTGCCTGCATCAACTCCATAAATTCTCTTCATTTAGTTCAAAAGCTGAATTTTCAGCTGTGGTACAGAGGTACTTGCAGTTTCTGCTTCACTGTTGGAAGTAACAAGTTTAGTCCTCCTTGGGTACAGATTTTTTTCATGTGTTTCTTCATATAAGCTCTGTTTCTCAAGCTAATAAGTTATCATATACCTTACTTAGCCTTGCCTCTGACAATGCTGCAAGAGTGATCAATAAAACCAGTTTTTATTCAAGATAACGGATCTTGCCTACTGTTCTTAATAGGTTTGAGTAGGACTGTAATCTTTAGTACTATTCTGTAAAGAAGAGACAGCCTCTAAAAGGAATGCAGTTTTAAATGTTTGGCAGAGCAAAATGGCAGTTGTCTTGAGAAAAGAATTTTTCCCTTATTGGCCAAGAAATGTGCTGACCGTCTAAGCCTAGAAAAGAAAACCTTTCTTTCTGGATAAATTAGAATGACAGAGTTTTAAAAAGAAGTAAAGATGTTCACTGAAACACACTTCAATATATTGACTGAAAGAAGAGCTTTAAGAAACAGCTATATTGAAAGGGAAGTAGAAAAGAGCATTGATTTTAGGGTGGAATATGTAGAGCACCCAACAGGCTAGCAGAGAGTATCAGAAGCGAGGGAGAGTTATCACTGGAATATCAGAGAAAAGTAATCCTGCTGCATTAAAATGCCAAAGAAATTAAAAAATTGAGGACAAGAAGGTAGTGCCAGCTTGCACCTATAGAGCTTCCCCCATTATAACTTACCCTAGAGTTTTGCTATGGGAAGAATGTTATTCTTTTTTTTTCTTTCTTTCTTTTTTTTTTTTCTTTTTACACAAAAAATATCTCCTGAGGGGGAAGGGCAAGAGAAGGAGCAGCAAAATGTCTTTTGGTGAATGCTACAGAATATGTTTTTGCTTCCTGTTTTGATACATATTTTCTGCCATAGAGTTGTCTGGGAAAAGTAACTAAAGAACTGAGGCTAGAAAATAGAGGTCACATTTTCTGTTCAAATTTATCTTCCCTTGACTGTGGTAGGAAGAGAATGGCAAAAAATCCTACCTGAGATATGACCACTGCCTCGTACTTACTAGTGCTGGATGTCATAGATACTTTGTAAAGGCAAATGGGGTTACTGATAGAAGTTTCAGACCGTTGGAGAATTGAATAAAACCTCCTCACACTTAAAATATGAGTATTTTTGCGAAGAAGTAAGGCTGTCTAATTGCTGTTACAAATGTTCAAATCCAGTGGGGCAGCGAGAGGCTCGTTCCGGCTTCCTCGTTTTTCCACTTCACAGTCACTGTATTTAAAGTTTCAAGAACATGCTACAGGAATGAATAAGTATTGATATCTTCCCAAAGTAATATCTTTCGTGTGCAAATAGCATTACTTTCATTTCCTGATTTATTTCACAATTTCCAAACATAACAGGCAAAAAATCCAATAGAGCTGGAAGATGATCAGGATGTAAAACTGAAATGGGTACTACTGACTTTTCAGTATGAAGAAAAATAGCTATTTACTGAATTCGTGTTCAATTTTACATCTCTATAGACTAAATAATACTGTCAATTTGTAAATGATAGAGATTAGTGGTACAGTATTGCTACAATAGGATAAAATGAGGGCCAGATAATAAAAATTTGCCTTGGTAATACTAGTTTACCATGAAGAGTCAGAATGGTTGCATTTATAGCATTCAAAAGTTGCTTTTTCTTCCAGATCATTTTGATTATGCTATTGTACAAAATTTTAGGGAATGCATATTTACTTTCCTGCTCGGAGAAAAAATGTAAATAAATATGAAAAACATTTGGGAGGAGCAAAGATTTCTGTGCTAACTCCTATCACCAGTACAGTAATTAACAGAAAATACTGAATGAATTCATTTTCTGCCAGTGTGTTTTCGGAGTAATACTTCAGTGGATTTGGACTATTTGAATTAAATTCTAACATTTTAACCTAGGGTTGAAGAAATTACTCATTCCTCATGTTAGTGAAAACTCAGCCTTTAGAGTATTCTGGCGTAATGTAAAACAGGATACAGGGGAATACGCACAAGGCTATTTTTTGTTGTTTGTTTTTGAAGAGATGCCCCTCCTTTAGGCTTGCTTTGGAGTCCAGAGAGAAGCAAGTTCCTGCACTGACCTAGTAAGAGTGCCCTCGTTTGAGCCCTACTCTGAATCACGCTCGGTATCTCCCCTCATCTTAAACAAAAGCTTTATCACTTTGAGATACTTTAATTCAATATTAAGTTCCATAGAAAGTGAGAAGAAAGTAGAGGGAAAAAAATAAATCAGGAGCTGTCCGATGCAGAAGAATATAATTCCTCCATTACATTGCTCTTCTCAGTGTTCAGGCATGCCTCCTGCAGTATCCAGCTAGTGCAGGCTTGTCAGTGTCTTGTCCGTCTGCCTTTGAACATCCCCAAGGATATTCAAAAGATCTCCACGGATGGAGGTGTTCAAGCCTGGACACAGTCTGGAGCAGCCTGCTCTGGCTGGCCCTGCTTGGACTAGGCAGGTCTGCAGAGCTACCTTCCCAAACAAGCTCTGAGGGCGCGGGAAGCGGCTGCGTTCTGGAGAGCCCCTGTCCCTCTCCAGCCTGGCACTGTCAGCTCGAGTGGGCCTTGGCGGGGCTGGAAGGGGAGCCTCAGCCTGTGAGCCTTGGGATCCCGTGCCCCAGCTGCGCCGCGCGGTGACGTCTCCCAGGATCGACGCTCCTCCGTCCCTTGGGTGAGAAATGCCATGATGTTTCAGTCCCTTAAATGGCGCTTGACTTAAACAAGATAAAATTGGAAATTAAGAAAACATTTATTCATATCTTCCAGAAAGACAACCAGTGTTTTTTAAAAACATAAAGAAATACAAGACAAACTATGTTTAATCTGTTTGCATTAAAAAAAAAGTCTCTCCTTCATTGTGCTTCCTTACTGGTCCTTTCCTGGCAAGCTAGCAGCTGGAGACTTGAGTCTTTGCTCATGTTTCCTCTTTCAGTGGGATTTCTTCTCTCAGCTTTTGTAGCTGCCACTCCAGTGTTTTCAGGTGGGTCCTGGGCTAAGTTTTCTCTAGTCCATGTTTTATTCCTCCTTATTTAGGAGACAGTGTAGCCATCTTCTTTAAACTAGGCACATAAATGCATAAATCTTTGTTCCATGAAGAGTCTTCCTACACTGAGCTGGTTAGTGAATAACATTTTGCTTCAGTGAGATAGAGAATGGATTTGTGGTGATTCATCCTAGGTGCTTGCTTTTACATAAGCTAGAACATGTATATATTGGAGAAATACTTATCAATTTTCCAGTAAATAAAAGCTTTATGAAAACTCAGAAATACTGCTCTGTCATTGTTTAGCAGAGAAGATATTTCTTGCTAAAATGAATAAATAGAGGCTCCTTAGATAAGGAGGAGGTAATTTCCTAAAGGTTCTCATATCACTAAACGTAATATATCATAGATAAACCAAGGTGCATGGGTTTTGTTTGTCTGGTTTTTTTTTTGGGGGGGGGAGGAAGATAAGAAGAGGAGGACCACAGTTTTCTCAAAGGAAAAATGTAAAAATGCAAACAGAAATGTCTCTTGAGGAAAATTCCCAAAATATTTTAGATGTGCAGTAACATGCTGCTCTCTGCTACTTGTGCAGTATTGACCATCACTATCTTTACTCATGTTTAATTTTATAAATACTCTCTGCTTTCAGTTGCTTTAGAAATCCACACTTGAGTAAGTTTAGTACTGATCACTAAGAACTGTCAGTTTTTACTACTTGCTCTCCTAAAACGTTCTGTATTCTGGAGTGTCTAAAAACATGTTATTTTTAACTCAGATAAAAACAAAATGGATTATTACTTTACTCCTTGGTTTGGGGAGTGTTATTGGAAAAACCCAAAACAGAGACATGGATGATCTTTTTTAATTTGTCTCTTCACATGTGTGCATTCAAGACTAGAAATGGTCATTGCTTTTGCACCAAATATGCGCAGTTCAGCGGACAAGGTAGTTGACTAGAGGCTGTGCCGAATCCATATGCATGCTTGCAAAAGATCGAAACTTCCCAGGAGATGCTACAGTTCTTTTAAACTTACTTTGTGAATGCTTCCTGCTAAGGCTGCTTTAGTCTTAGCTCCCTCAGATTTTTGTTGCATATTTTGGCAGCATTTCCTTTTGACTTGTAATAACGTAAATTAAAATAACTGATAGGAAGTCAGGTCATATTAAAACATACATTATGAGGAAATAGAATTATAGCCAAATGGCGTCATTTTCTGAAGGACGTAATCATGGCTGTGAGTTGATTGTTTCTTTTAAGGATCTTTTTGTGTACAGTTGCTTTGTGTCTGAATTATTCTAGATATGTAGAGGCATTTTATAATGTAGAGTATTTATAATACACACATGTGCTTAATGAGCAAGGGGATAACTGATGCTAAGAGATATTTGAGTACTGCACTTGCAAATTTGCAATTTGTCTTTCTAAATTTTTCATTACCTCTGAACCTAAAGTGAAGTATTGATGTCAGATTTTTAATACAGTGGAGTAATTTGGTACTTAATAACAAATGTAGTAGAGTAAGGCAAAGCTATAGCCAACTGAGCTCTAATTTCACACTTTATTGTATAAGCTAGTAGTAGAAATCAAAAAATATATTGCCTGTTCCATAAAGAGCATGAATATCTAAGATTATTTGAGGACATTTTTTCTTTCCTTGATGTTCATTTAAGTCTGAAACATTGATTCACACAGTAGTACTTGTATCTACCTAGCCTATATGTTGACTGAATGCGAGCATTTTTCATGATTGGAGTTGAATACTGAGCTATTACCTAAATAAAGCATCTGCAGTCAGGCTGAACATTTTTAGTTGTACTTTCTGCTCACATTTCAGTATACAGTCTCGAATAAAAGCTTTTGAAAAGAAAAAAAAAAAGTTTAGAGAATTATATTCCTATTTTAGAAAATTGCAATTTGGTCTTTTTCTCGGGCACTGCAATCAGAACAAAAAGGTTCCAAGAGGATGTTAAGTAAAATTTAAGTGCCTGAGTCTAAATTTGACCTTTAAGAGCCTTTAGGGCATCTAATGCCATAGCAACCTGAACTGCAATGTCAAATCAGCTTTTGAGGGCTTAGGAGTCTGGTATCTGTTCCTATTGTGCCTAATGCATGCCAGGACCTGTTGGAAAACCTCAAACTGCACGCTGACTTGCTTGTATTACTGACAGCTGTATCATCTGTCTCCTAATCTAGTTGCCACATGTATCAGTAGGTTGAGGGAGTGCATCCTTCCCTCTGCTTAGCCCTGCACCTGGGATGTGGATGCAAGTCGGGGTCAGTATCTCCTGGGAGAGATATGGAGCTACTGGAGCGAATAGGACAATGCCCCAGAAGGGTGATGAAGGGACTGGAGCTTCTGTCGTAGAAGGAGAGACTGAGCGAGATTTTCATCCTGCAGTTTCATCCTGCAGAAGGAAAGGCTTGGAGGGATCTGATCAGTGGGTATAAATATCTAAAGGGAGGTAGTAAAGAAGACAGAACAAGTCTCTTCTCAGTGTGCCTAGTAACAGGGCAAGAGGTGGTGGGCACAAATTGAAACAGGACATGCTGTCTAGATGTTAGGACAAAAAAACTTTTCCTTGGCGAGTGACTGAGATTAGAACAATTTGCCCAGAGAGAAAGTGAAGTCTCCAACCCTGGAGACACTTAAAAGCCATCTGGACGTGGTCCTGGGCAACATGGTGACCCTGTTTGAGAAGGGTGGTTGGACAAGATGATGTCCAGAAGGGTTTTCTAACCTCAGCTATTCGGTGATTCTGTATTCGGATTGGTCCTGTACAAAACGTATTCGTGTTTGCCAGCCTGCCTTCCTGATTTCCAGTATCCTTGCTCTTTGTGAGTCAAGGAGGTCTCTTCGCAAGGAGAAAGGAGTGTTGCTAATGTAGTTCCTCAAATCATCTGCTATCTAGTTTCATTTTGTTACTGTCTTATTTTTTCAAGATAGTTGAAGATACTATTGTTTGTTTTTTAAAAGATAGGATATTAATTTTGCAGATAATCTAAACCAAAGGGAGTATATTATATATAAATTCTTGATTACTTCTGTATGACAAATTAAATTAGTTTAATGAAATAGCATAAGTGATGATAAGGCTTTTCAAATGAAGATTTCTTAAATGTCATAGTTTTCTGAACTGTTTAGATAACTTTTTTCCATATGTGTGTTGCTAAACTCTTTATGTTCTTGTTCTTCATAGACCCACGCATGTGCTTTAAATATTATGAATAGTTAGAATCCTATGGGACTTTTGGATAGCATGTCTTACATAAGTCTTTGCAAGATTGCGACCGAAGTACTTCTTAAACTTAATTCCCAGAATAGTCACATTCACTGTATGCATCAGGGGTCAGCAGCATATGGCACAGAAGCCAGAGATGACACATACGCTGAATTTTTTGAATGGTGCAGAACTGCTCTCTGTATGAGGCAACAGATTCTAACACCTACTACATTTCTTTCAGTATACTCAGGCATTACTTTGAGAATAAAAATATGATTTCTTATTGATTGCTGAAACGTCTCCAAATTCTTTCTTTTGTACGAAAGAGGAGCAGCATGCTAATAGAGGTATCTGGCTCATGTTCAGAGAGGTGTATGCATCCTTGTGTAAATCCAGGCCTGTTACAGTGAGCAGAGACTTCAGGACGCAATTTCGGGAAACCGTTTGTGAATAGCCCTTGAGAGGCTTAATTAGGAAAGCACCTAAAATAAGGTAGCAGAAGTCAAAGGAGTTAAATAAACCTTCATAACAGTGTACCATTAAATGTTAGCATGGTAACTGTACTTACAGTTATTAAGAATAACTTAATGTTGTAATCCACAAATAACAATATAAATGGTAAGCCAGACATCAATTTTGTTTAGGCCATTCAGTTTGAAAGCCTGGTAAATCAAAAAAAAAAAAAAAAGATACTGTATTTGACATGAAAGCTATAGACAAGCTTTACAGAATCACTCCTAACCTGAAATGAATATTATATTCTCAGTCCTGACATCCTTGTTGTCTTTCCTGTTCTGTGGGTTGATTGTGCAAAGGGTAGTTCTTGGGCATCTGTACTATCTTAGCAGAATTTATGTAATGTGTCAGTCTCCAAATACAGCTAATGTACATCAAAGGTAGGTTTTGGTAGCAGACAAACAATTTAAGTGCTGAGAACTGATAGCAAGAATATCTTTCATGGGTGCTACTTCTGTTAAATTGTCCTTCAATGTTGGACAGATATTGTTGGTAATTTATATTAATATACGACAAAACAATTTTCAATTTTTCATAATTATTGTGAGTAATGATCAAAGGGTTTTTATGTTCAGTATATTTATACTTAAAATATATATAAAAATGAACTTGTTTTGGGCAAGTCAGAGTTCTCAAGTGGGTAAGTTTGCTCTTAATACTTCTCTACCAGCAGATACAAGATAAATATACAAAGTCGTTTTTATTGATTTTAGTAGTAGTAGTATTGATTTTCATCTAAAACTCTTTAAATGCATTATACACAATCTATAGTAAACCTTCAACATGCTTTTATTTTGAAGGTGATCACATACTTTTTCAGGTTTGAATGTTGTTACCATGAGAGAGGAAAAAGGGAGTATGTTTATGATTTGTTTAATAACTGGTTAGGCACATGTCTTCAGACATGCTGTAGAGGCTTAACCTTTCTATTGATGCCCTGTTATTCTATGCCTATTAATCACTATTAACAGATAGAGATATCTTTATATTTTGAAAACTATAAAGTTTGGAAAAAAATGTCTAGGGTATATCAAGCCCTTCAAATAACTTTGTCCTGTCTATTTACTGTCGTCTTACTTTATGACCTAAGGCGGCTTTGCCATCATATTATCAAAATTTAGGTGTTTCAATCATCTTATAAACCAAACAGTAGTAGTCTTGCGATGTGGGCTACATTTTGTTCATATGGTAGGTGCACTCTGGCTCACACAAGAGAAGTGTCTTGGTTTAATGTAACAAAAAAGATGACTGGTGAGAATTCTAGAGGAACACAAAGGTGAGAAGGTGCTAGAAAGCTACCACCTGTTACCACATAGTAAGCGTAGATTAACAGCTTCAAATGTGATAAGTGATCCTGGCTGTTTGTTTTGGATATGCTACTCTCAAGGGATCTGCTCCTTTCCTTCATTTTCTTCATTTTTTTAGGAGTTACAAAGAATTTAGCTTGTAGAAATGATATTCCTTTTACGTGATTGAACTTTGGAACCCAAAAGCTTTTGCAAGTCTCTTTGTAAGCCTTGGCCACAACTGAAAATGCATGTGGGCATGTGCATGCACACATGCTTTGTGTTGTGTTTGGCCTGAGCACTGAGATGCTTACCAAATTCTCTGTTGCTTTGTATTTATTTTGTGAGATTTGTCTGGATGTTTTATTTTCTGTAATACTCAGGGAAAGAAAGAAAAGGAAGAAATAACTAAGCAAAACAGAAAAAAAAGTTTCACTTTTGTTTTATGTTTTACAGGAGACACATGAAATTGTGGCTATCAAGAAATTCAAAGACAGTGAAGGTAACGTTTTCTTCTTCTGTCTAGTCTTTTGTGTCAACAACTATGCTGCTAATATCTCTCCAGTTAAATAAGAAGTCACTTGTGTCAGGGTATGATTTTAAAAAAAAGATTTATATATTAGCTCTGTGGGTATTTAGGGCTTCTAATACTTTATATGTACCTAGCCAACGAAGGGGAGTGCCAAATTGTGACAGGCCTCTCAAGCAGGTTATGAGACTAGTTCAGAATTGCTTTTCAGTACTTGATCTGCTGTTGAGGACAGGTTCTAACCAGTAGAATCTCGGTATCGGGGCCCTAACAGAAACAGTATTTTAGCTGTTCTATCAAAAAAAAAAAAAAAAAAGGCAAAATTGCCATTAGATATGGCTTGCTAACAGTATTAAGCCATATTGGTTTACGTGATGGATGACTGCTTTTTGGAGCTGTAGCTGGTTGTTTACAAGTTTCAGAAAATATGACAGAAGTTCTTTTCATGGATTTGATTCAGTCCATTTAACATCTGTCTTGTTAGGAGGGTAGTTCATTAAAAACTTGTATATATTATAATTGTTTCTATTGCTGCTTCTGTTTCACTGATTTTTTTGTTGCTGTTTGATACTGCATTGGGGAAGATGGTGTCTAGTTTTAGAGGAAAGTATATAGTCAGATTGATTCAAGCCAACATCAAACACTCTGCTTTAAAGTCAGATGATTTAGATTGCTCTAAATTGTGTATATATAATACTTTTTTTTTTTTTTTTTAGATCAAAACATTTGTGGTGTTACCAGAGGTTTCTTTTCCTTTCTTTCTCCTCCTCCCTTTCTTTTTTTTTTTTTCTTTTTCTTTTTTTTTCTTTCTTCTGATTATGGTTGTGTTTGTTCCCTCTCCCCTGCCAATCTGTTCTGTCCTTTTGCTTGCTTAGAAAAAAACCTCTTTGTTTTATTTTCTTCCACTGACTGCATGTGCATGGACAAATTCACTGAGTTAATGGATTTCATTTTACTGAATGTGGTGCACACTGGTTTACTTTGGCTGACTTAACGTTTCTTAGGTAGCGTCATCTAGAACCCAACCAGTTCAGGGCCCCTCAGTGATGAGAAGTTCCCAAAACTTTAGTAAAACACTCTCCTTTGCTTGAACAACTTTCAGACCACTGAGTTGCCAAAACATTAGTTGAATTTCTTGTTTCCTAGAATCGTGGATTGTAGGTTTTTTTGGATCAGTGTTTGCCTTCTATGGCTGCTGCAGCGGTCTGCTTGCTGAATTTATGCTAAGAACCTTTTGTGAAAAACTCAAAAGGCATAAAAATCTGTGTTTTGGTGTTAAAATCTGTGATGGCATTTGGAGAATAAAGTTATTTTTAGAATGCAATCGAGATGATTTTCACATTGACAAAATGGAGCTCTCAGTTCCCATGCCTCTGCAAAGGGCGTATCAGCCTCCCCAGTGCTGCAGCCGTGTGGAATGTGTGCCAGTGTGTTACAACTCTTTGCAAGTATATTACAACTCTTCAGAATGAAAAAAAGTAGAAATGTGAAGGATTATTTCTTATCACCTTTTCTGCTGCTGGAAAACTGCATGAGGAAGTGTGTCAAGGTTATATAGTGGCAGCACAGTCGTGTATCTCTCTTCCAATACAGACAACGTCCAGTAGCAGGAGGAGACAATAGTGGAAAATGAGCCTGTAATAGCCGGTGACAGAGATTTTAATGAGGGGTTCACATAAAATATTCATAACATTCATTACTCTGTATTTTTATTTTTTAATAAGTTTTAATTTGTTATTTTTACTTTGCGCACTAGAAAATGAAGAAGTCAAAGAAACCACTTTACGAGAGCTTAAAATGCTTCGCACTTTGAAACAGGAGAACATAGTGGAGCTGAAAGAAGCCTTCAGAAGAAGAGGAAAATTATACTTAGTTTTTGAATATGTGGAAAAAGTGAGTTGAATTTGTACTATCCTTTCCACAATTAAATGATCAAATTGCTGAAAAAGTCTTTTAAAATACTTCTAAAAATGGCACTATTCTAATAAAAAAGGGGAATTAGCAGAAGCTATTCTGAATCCAAATTGTAAGTTGGACCTGTATTGCCAGAAAACAACACCTGCAACTTTATTGTCTTTACATCATGAGATGGACTTTTTGTTGTTTTCTCTTTTGTTCTTATCTGTTTAAATAGCTTTAAAAAATCTTTCTTTTATGAACACAAATACATTCAAATTGTTTAAACTGGAATAGGTATCATCTGAAAAAAAATAATCCCATGTGAGCTGTATAGTCCAGTTTAAATATGAAATTGATTAGATGTCCCATGTTGTGTTGTGCAGTTAATCTTGACACAGTCTTTCAGAACAAGATCGTGGGTTTCTGCCTATGGAATCTGTTGCAACTTTATCTGTCATCCTCTGTTAAAAATAAGGTTTCTATTTCTATTTTTCTGTAACAAGTTCAGTATCAATAGCCACTTAGAAGGATTTGGCAAAAGTCACTGTCATTATTTTGAATCCTGACCTCATTTGAATCCATTCCAAAGTTTTCTTAGACTGGCCCACTGCTGCCAAGTGTCCTGGTCTGCTTCCAAAGAGAAACAACATAGAACACATTGGTCTTCCATTATTTTTGGAGCCTTCCTGGCCACAGTAAACTTAACTTTTTTCTAACCATTTAGCACCTTCTCATGAAAATAACTAGGTGATATTCAGTTACATAAGGTAAAACTGTATGCAAGTGTAAAAAATACATCACATCTATGTAGCTTTCATCAGGTATTGTTCCCTTAATTGAAATTCTCAAGGTGATTCTCAAAGGCTGCAGTATGCTAGTTTTATTTAGTCAGTTTTCCCTTATGTGTAAAGATATCTCACCTTATATATGGTGTCTCTTCTCAGTTTATAATTAATTGTGTGCTTTCATTGCATAATGTGAGGTTACCTCTGCTATGACATGGCCTGGCAGAAATTAGGTGTGTGTTGCACCAGCAGATCAGGAACTTCCAATGTGGTACATCTTGCTTGGCTCTAGTATCCAAACCTTGTCTTGCTCTACCTGTGTTTCCTGTGGTTCATCCAGACTCATGAAATGTCTTTGATCACATACAAGCTGGAAGATAAGTTTAATTTTGTCTTATCATTGACTTGGCTGAACTTACTCTAGCAGTGGTTTTGGAAGATCAGCATGAGAAAAAGCATTTAACTGATTGAATAAGACCATATTTTAAAAATTGGTTAATATTTTTGCATAAATGGAACAGGCTGCTATACCTAACATTATTTGCATCAGATAAAAGAATGTAATGCTAAGCATAGCTATTACATATAGCCTGTGAGCATAGTATCATTTCTGTTTCAGTGGTAACTTATAATTTCAGTTAAACTTCATGGTCTATGAATATTTCTCATTTTCAGATGTGTAAAGTAGTTTCTTTATAGATACCTTTTAAGACCAGGATAATTTATGTGCTGATGAATGAGGAATAGTAAAATGAATTAAATAAAATGTGGCATAGTAGGTTAGTTTTTGTTTTAACTGATTATGAGTTTTATTTATGAGATTATGCCTTTTGTCCTTCAAGGAATTTTAGCTCTGCAATACCCAAATCCAGATTACTTAAATTTACATTTAGTCTAATCTCCTTTATCCATCATCCCCTTAGTTAATGTCTTCGCATAGGATTATGCCTTGCTATGTTGTTTTTACTATTCTGGTTCATATTTATAGTACTAATTTCTTGACTAATTTATCCAAAAGTACAGGCCTCAGTACCGAAATGAATCTAAATAAAATCAATGTGATACATACTTTGTTAACAGAAAATGTGTTTCTGAGGAAACCTGCACTCAGATACATAAATTTCAGTATAGATTCTCAGACTGCAAAATATGATTTTTTTTTGAAATATTAGCAAAGGCTCCATTTGTTTTGTATCATGCTTGTGTTCATTAAAATATTATAGAAGAAAAAATCAGAAATATATTATGGAGTTAAATGTTTGTCAGAGGTGAGGTAAACATACAATCGATTTAAAAATCTGTGTAAATGCCCTAATTCAGAATTGTACTGTGTAAAACAATATAGCCAAAATACTTATTTTTATCTCAGAGTTCAGCATATAAGGCTCTTTTATGCCTTCAAGTGGGCTGTTGCCATGCAGTATTCAATTAGGATTTAGAGTAGGCTAAACCCCATTCTGCTTCTAAGTGTGCAAAATTGGAGACATTTGCTAGCATAATGGAAATCTAAAGGTCCTTTGAAGAGGAAATTTATCAGTGCAAAAAGTTAAATTAGTGTTTTTTTTTCCCTATGTCTGTACAGTCTGTACATAACATAGTTAGCATGGACACAATTAATGTAGCACAAATATATCTAAGCTGGATATATCTCATATAAAAAGATTCAAGTTACTTATACAAATTTATGCCCATTTGAGGCATTTTTATATATGTATTGTTTCATTCACACTGATGGGCTTTTGTCCTGCTATATGAAAGCAGCAGAACTAAGAAGATTGTATGTTAAAGCATAGTAGGATTATTACAAAATGCTGTTCTCTACAATATTTTCCATACAGCAACACTGAACTGGAGTTTCTGTTTAAGCAATCTCTTGTAAGTAAATGATTTTTAGAAGTTTTAGTCTAAGTGATGACAGATTTTTAAGGTCTTAGAGTATGCCTGTGTTCATCTTTAAGGAACATTGTCTTCACAAGTGCTTTCTCTAGAACAAAACCAGCTAGGAGCATGTGTATAGTTAAAATACACTCCTTGAGTGTTAAACTGTTGTTTTTTCTTTTATAGTTAGACTCACTGGCATATGTAGGTTGCTTTAGTATGTTGAAGACGTGTTAATCTGGCTACTACTGTATATGTTTGTTTAAATAATATGTCTTTTAAACACTCAGAATATGCTTGAATTGCTAGAAGAAATGCCAAATGGAGTTCCACCAGAAAAAGTGAAAAGCTATATATACCAGCTAATTAAAGCAATTCACTGGTGTCATAAGAATGATATTGTTCATAGAGGTAAGTTTATAGTTTTATGTGTAGAAGGGAACCCCCAGTAGGAATTTACTATAGGGAAATATGCTATAGCTTGAATTAATTTGCATTGATATAAATATAGGTACATATTGTTAGGAAAAAAGAATATGAATTTGGTTGAGGCGCAACAAGCTCAAGGTTGCTTTAAAATAAGGTTTATCTACATATAAAGATTGTTATCCACTGGTGTCTTTGGTATATAAGTAGAGATTGTTTCATATGACAATGAGGCAAAGATACACCATAAGGAAACGGAGCTGTTTAAACATTGCATGGTTCAATCATTTCACTTTGAACCTTATAATAAAATATTAGAACAGTAATGCGGAGCTTAAGCTTGGTCATCTGCACTTACCTTCTGTATAAGACAGTACCTCCAGACACTAATGGATTCAGTTCTTTCCTCCTCAGTTTCAAGCACTTGTAATACGTGCTTTGACATGTGAGTTTAACCAGTTTTATTTATATTTATTATATTAATGTTGTGTTTATTATATTCGTTTATATTATCCTGATTTAGTAAAATCTGATTTTGCTTTATGCCTTTGCAAAAGTAACATGTCTAATGTACATGAGCTTTCATCTATTGAAAACATTCCAGTGTACTGCTGGTATTTGAGTTTGATCAAACATGGGCAAGAATCTGTAAATATTTTGAGGAATGTGGTTTGAAGAAATATAGCTTATAAAATACTATAGCATTAATTTAAATTAATGCTTCAAATTAAAGCATTAAAGAAAAATAAACAGGCTTGAGAAATTTGAAGAAACAGCAAGAGGTGCACAAGGAGGTCATCATAACACCAAAGGTAATTAGTGCACACACTTAGTGCTTTGCTGCTTACCTAGATAATTAAATAGGGTTTTGTTTATTACTTTGCCAAATGCTGTATTCTGCATATTGCTTTGATGTCCAGGAATAAAAGAGGTGTAAGCACCTCTTTTATCTTCCTTTATTTTGTTGGGAAACTACTTAAAAGACATTATAGGAAATGGCTGTTCTGTGTGTTCACAAGCATCATCATTTGAAGCCTAGTGATATTTCTTTCAGCAGTTTCTTTTTAATGCTTTGTTTATGATTGTTTGAACATAATAAACTTGGTGAAGAATATATTTAAAATTAAAAAGAGTAGATAACAGCTATCTCTCTCTTTTTTTTTTCTTTCTCTCTATTATTTTGATATGCCAGATATAAAACCAGAGAATCTCTTAATAAGCCACAATGATGTTCTGAAGTTGTGCGACTTCGGTAAGTCCAATAGCTGGATGTATGTTTGTTTCATGTTTCTTTATTTCTTTTTTGTTGTTGTTGTTGTTTTCCTTTAAAAGAAATTCTCAGTGTGGTCTTTGCATGCTTCATTCTTATGAGAGTTGCTTTATGAGAGTTTACTGCTTTATTCTTATGAGAGTTACACAGCGGGTACCACTTAAATTCACTTTAGCTCTCGGAATTGACTACTCCTTCAGATTTGTTGCTTTAATTTGTGACATCTCTGAGCTATACAGTGCATATCTTGTGAAATACCAGTGTTAATACGGCCATTCTAATCACGTGTAACTTCTTCCTATATTCTACAAGGTTTTAATAGCACTGTTATTGGCACTTAGTTAAAAAAAACTTAGATGCTAAATCAATTAGAAGACTAGCAGAACTGTAGATTTATCTGTAGATAAAGTGTCCTTTTTGTGTGATCCTTAAAAATGGCTTTTATGGACTGTTATGTTTGTCCTCCTTTGTATATTTCAATTTGTATTATTGCGTTAATTAAGGAATAACGTGTGATCGTATGATTAATGACTGAATGGTTGGAGAATAAAGTCAGAATTGTCTACGCAATGTTAAGTCTGTCATTTGCTGACATACCAATGCCTGTTTAATGCCACCTTTAAGGCTTGGAAGAATCAGACCCTAATCACAAGATAAACTGTTGTACCTATGTGATTAATCCTGAGAAGACAGCTGGGCAGAGTATACACCAACAACATGTATTTTGTTCTCAATGCTACATAAATACAGAAAAAAAAAAAGATACTATATCTAAAAGGCCTGCAGTTTGTGTTGGTAAATAAAGACCAATTCCAGAGCGCTGCACTGGGGCACTTTGCTGAGAGCTGTTTTCATGAAAGCTGTCATTTCAGACCGTGGCAATTTTGAATGAAATAAGGCACTGCTGGAAAAAATATAATAAATTGCAACATCTTATAGTAATGCAAAAAAAGGATGCTCATTTGCAGGCTGCATTTAATCCTGAACACGTTTTGGCCCAAACGTTAAGAAACAGTCACACTTCTAGAAAAGGCCTTGGCATTTTCAGTCCATATGCGTTCTGTGAAGAAAGCGGCCTTTTTCTGTGTGGTGTTAAGGCCTACAAAGCCCTAATGAGGTTTAACCCCGGGGCCGCAGGGGTCGAGGGTAGGTGTGTGGGCCCTCGCTGGTGCCCGCAGCCCTTTCCCGGGTGCCGTGTCCCTCCCCGGTCGCAGTAGGGCAGCCGTTTCCCTTCGGCCCTGACCTGGCACCGGAGGGGCTGCCCCTGCAGACCAGGGCCCTCAGGCACCTCCATGGCGGGCGCCGGCCCCAGCCCCTGTGCAGAGCCTGCCCTTTCCCCTCTCATTCCTGCCATTTCCTCATCAGCCTTGTTTTTTTTTGTTCCCAGAAAGTGATTTTCTCCTTTGGAGTCGATGCGTGCCATCAGCTAACAAATTTCTGTGTGCAAATTTGCCACAGCGTCCTTTGCACAAAGGAGCTTTACGGGGAAATATGCCAAACAAATGATGTGATCGTGTTTTGGACAGCAGTTTTCTCAAGAAATGTTAAACAGTGATGAATTCCGTCAGCAGTGTTGATGTTCTGTCTAGTTTGAGAGCTTGCTCATCTCATAAACTGTAGCCAGGTTTTCTTTCTGGTGCTGGAAAAGAAATTCAGTCATGGTGTCCTCCCAGCGCCCAGGAGAAGGAGGTCGATTAAGTTGGGAGAACTTGTGTTGCAATCACTGTTTACATAGGTTATTTAAACTTAGCTTCATGTTTCAGATTTGGTTAGTTTAAAATACTAAGCATCTTCTAGAACTTAGGATCCATTATAATTTGTTAGCCTTACTGCTAATTGACATTGTTCTAAATAGCTTAAGTTACTACTGCAGATGTACCTCTCAGGGAATTAACCACACAAATTTCTTGCCCATATACAGTGGAGAGTATTATATGAAGGTTGACTTTCAGAATGATATAACACATGCTACCTGTCTACTCAACTTCATGTTTTGGAACATGGGTACTTGTCAGATATAATACCACATTCTTCATGTGATGACAACAAAGATAAAGAAAAATCTTTATGTCCATCTAAATGCAGATATTATGGTAACTACATGTTTCAGAATGAACACAGTGGACAAAACTCAAAAAGAAAGAGTTAGAACTCAGACAAGTTCTTTATAGCCATTGTGGTGTGTTCTGTACATACCGTACTAGATAAAAATGAGTTTGAATGTGGTGCTTGCTTTGCACATGTTGTGTGGGTGTAATTTCTGCCAATAGAATTGGAAAAAGAGAACAGTACAAAATGCCGACTACAGCAGAGGCATCTGACTGTTATTGGAAATAGTTAGCATTTTGAGTCATGTGTGTCCTGTGTCAACACCACTGCTTCAGAATTACTCGTTCTGCTAACAATTTCTTAATCTCTGTATGAAGTGTAAGCATAGAAATCATGAAACACAGGCCTGGAAAACAAGTCAGGAAATTCTCTCCTTCTTCCACCTACTCAGAGAAAGCATTAGGCATGTCTCTGTCATTCTTGACTGATGTTTCCTCGGTTTATTCTTTAAAATCTATCAATGGAGGTTCCATGGCATTGCTAGGTGCCTAGTTAAGTGCTTAAATTCCGTTATGTGAGAGTGCTTTGCTTTGTCTAACTTGTATTTGCCTTGCTTCTCTAAGAAACTGATAATCTTCTCAACTCATTTTTCCCCTCACACCTTTTTTCTTGGTGTGTCTCCTACCCTGCTAGGAGTTTCTTCCAGTGCTTTTTTGAAATCTATTGTTTTATTTTGATAGACTCATAGAATCGTTATGCTTGGAAAAGGTGTTCAAGATCAAACCCATTCCCACCCTGCCTGCTAGACCATGTTCATCTACACGTTTCTTGAACACTGCCAGCGACGGGGACTCCACCACTTCCTTGGACAGCCTGGTCCAAGGCTTCACCACTCTTCCTTTGTAGAAATTCTTCCTAATATCTAACCTGAACCTCCCCTGGTGCAATTTGCAACCATTTCCTCATGTCCTAATTTTGTCTGTTCTTCTGTCCATACATCCTGATGCAATCTGAAAACTCATTTTTAAAATTGTTCTGTGCTAAATCTCCTTTCATCTTCATTTTCTGATCTAGTTCTTTACTGCTGCTTCTAGTTCAGTCTAGTCTTCTCCCTAGGTATCTCCTTTTATTTTCTTATCTAAAAATTGTTTCCACCACCTCAGCACAACTCAGAGGAAGGAGCCATAGTGCCCCAAGCTAGTTCTGCCACTGTAGTAAAAAAAAACTAATAGTATCCTTAGAAAACGTGTTACGCTTCCTTGAAATATGGGTTCTGTCCATCATCTTTCAGCAGAGCAACATAGAATCAAAGCAGTAGTAAAATGATTTCCTACATTACCTGGCAAAATACATATCACAGTGAAGCCTATGATAATATTTTTCTTTCTGTCTTGCAGTGTCAAATCCATGCTGCGCTTCATTGCTAAAGGCCGCGGGGGCTAATCCTTGGTGGGGCTGCAGTAGCTGCTGCTACTCGCTGGCATGATCCGTAGGTCCTGCTTGCGGCCAAGTCCCAGTGCCCTGGCCGAGGGAGGATGCATCCTGGCTCCTGTTGATATGGCAGGGGCAGATTTACGTGGCTTAGACCAGCCAGGCTGCTGTGGGGCGCTCATTTGGGATTTAGCTTTTGCTCTTTCCTCATTCAGTTTGGACCTTCCCACTCTTTGCTTTGGCTATCCACTTTCTCCTGGTTATTTTCATCCCCTGCCTCCTCTAAAGAGATGAGTGAAAGATTTACTTCACTGACAAGATTAATCAGATGGGTCATGTAATTTGAAACAGAAGCAGAAGTACCTAAGCATTTCTAAATATAGTAATGTTTATAATCCCGATGTTAATCTTCAGTAATTAAAAAAAAAAAAAAATCCTTTCAAACTTTTCTCTATCAGCATCAGTGAAGTTCAGTAGAACTTTATGGGGACAGGATAAAATTACTGTTATTTAGGGAATAATAGGGAAATATCTGTTTCTCTTAGTGATCTAGAAGGCATGTACCTAACTCTTGAAGAAAGGGGTATCTTATTTATGAAAAGTAACAACAGTAACCTATGTCAGTACCCAATTTTCACTGCCTTCTTAAATCACTAGTCTATTAATAATCAAATCACTAGTCTATTAACAATCTCTGCATCTAAACTTTAACATCGAGAAAATTACTGTACCACAGGGGTCAGTGTGACTGGACTTATTCATGCTAAGCTGTAAAATGAGATCCACTTTCAGAATAAAATAATCAAAGCAACCTTTCAGCCCCAGTTGTGTAGGAAAAGTGTTCCTGGCAGTTTCTGCATAAGAACTTGGAAAGAAAGAAAAATGATTGTTACATTTAAGAAGCACTTACTGATTCTGAAAATGAAATTATGCCTGCAGGACTGTAGAATTTTTATTCTTTCTTTGTTACTTAAGAAATAATAGAAGGACTCCCAGTGATCTGATTGCAGTGAATTTTGGATCAAGTTTTAATGCAACATCGAAGTAAAAAGCATTTTAAAAATTTTGCTTCTGCAATTCAGCCCCCCAAATTTGTCTCGCTTTGAACTCCAGTAAGGAACATACACATGCAGAGTCTTGCTGCTGAGCTCTGTCTGACCTCAGTTTCACCTTATTATTAGTCATTTGAAAACAGCAGGATCTGTGATACTTTTCTAAAAATTCTGACAGCATCTACCCTCTGGTACTTCTAAGTGAAGAATCTAATAACATCATCCCTGTGGTGCTCAGCTTTATACATTGAGAATAGAGGGAATGAAAAGAAAATCTAAATGATTCCTACTTCTGAATTTTCTAGTATGTGTCCTCTTTTCTGCATCGGTCTTCTAAGCTGTGACGCTGTAAGACAAAAGTCAGGTTCTGGTACAATTGTCAATAAGTAGATAATTGTGGGTTCTTAACAAAATGATATGAAGGAGCAAGTTATTTTAGAGTTCTGATTCCAAATTCATTGGGAGGCTTTCTTGGAATGTGATGCTAAAGCAGATGGGGAGCTTGCATCAGTGGCGTATGATATGTAGTTACACATTTTTTGTGTAATTTTTTTTGTGTGCGCATTTTTTGTTCACATTCCTGCCTTTTGTAGTTGTGGGGAAATGATCACGTTCATTGTCAAGTAAGGTGGACTGTGCTAGTTTCATCTGAAAGTAAAAATCAGAAGAGGAGGGTCCTTGGACAAGAATAACACAGTTTCTCAACCAATTGGAAAAAAAAATGAATGCCGTGTGATTGTAGTAGTCAGGATCAGTGATTGAAGTGTCTGCTCCCTGGGTATATGTTAAGTTTCCGTTGTTATGAATTGTCTTCTGCAAAAAGCAACTCACGATGAAATTTAGTGACTCTATTTCAATAGGCTCTGTGGCATCCTGACAAGTAACTTTTATCAGTCTGCTCCTATTATGGCAAAGCACCAGAAGCCATGGCAGAATGCCACCGTCTGAGGACAGTGCACAAGGAAGCTTGTCATTAAAGCAAGTGTACTCATGTTCAGTGTTAATCAATAAAGCCTCTGTTTCAGCAAACACTTGTGATCCCTGGAGACATCACTGTGCATTAGGGGATATAAACTGTTTCTGTTTAAATACGTGTGTGACCTCTTATTGCCAAAATCAGTAGTGGAATGCGTATTTATTGAAAATAGGGTGTAATTTTTCATGTTTGTTGTTTTAATTTTACAGGCTTTGCTCGTAATCTCTCAGAGGGAAGCAATGCTAACTATACAGAATATGTGGCTACAAGATGGTACCGCTCTCCTGAACTCTTGCTTGGGTAGGTGCAGGTTATAGAACAGCCATGACACATAAGTCTTGACTGATTCTTTACGTTTTGCACATTTTGTGAGATTTACTGGTGAGGGGCTGTATTTGACTTAGAAGTTTTTTTAAATCTACCCTTTAAGATTTTTATGAAGTATTTTGGTTCGTTTCCATTAAGATGATATGAATCATTGATCATGATCTGTGCTGAAGTGGCACAAAAAGATGCTGCTAGCTTTTGTGGTAAGGAATTTATGGGAGGAGTCTTGTGAATCACTTTATTAAAGCACTGAACACCTGGTGTCATGCTACCTGTGCAAGCAGTAGTTGCATGAGCAGCTTCAGCCTGATGATTTAATTTTGCTCTTTTATAATCTGTAAAATGAGAGGTTTCCTATCTTGCAAGGCTAAATAGGTTTTCAAATATCATATGAATAAATTAGGACCCATAAGGGTAAAGGAAGGGACAGAAAACTGAAGTTTTGCTGCATGTGGTCTTTTCCATTACTATCTTTACTGTGCACTTCTTTCAAGTTTCTTGAGGAAAAAGCTCTGATACAATTCCTGTATGTATAACATATACATGCTTTCACATATATATTCTGGAAATAAAGGATTGGTGGATGGAGGTTGAGTCGAAGAGGTGCTTTAAGCCAAATGCTTCACGCTGCTAAGAAACAGGTCTTTAATTAACACTGACCTAGAAAATAGACGTTTCTTGAAATGGTAATGCATAAGATAATAATTACTCTGTCAATAAAGCCATCCCACTGCTTATGGAGCTCTGTTAATCAAATTGGTATGTATTTGCACTATTTAGATGCAGAATAGCATGTTAAAGTTGCCTTTAATATCTCAAAGCTTAGTTTTTCATATTTTGGAGAAAAGTGATATTATTAAATATCCAAAAAGTACATATTTATTTTAACAACTTGGAAAAAGCATCAATAGTGGCCATTTTATTTGTACAGCATTTTAATATCTGTCTTTATTAGTGATTAGCTTTTAAGAGGAAAGACATACACAAAAACTTGTCATATGCTATATTAATCTCATTTGAAATTCTCAAAACTCTATTGTTAACACAAGGAAATTTATCAGGAATCATGGGTGCATATAATTGATTCAATTTATCTCTCTTAACTGGTAGAAAAGGGGAGGTAGATGTATTTAATGACTTCAGTGTTGTTGGCGTACTTTTTAATGCCAAGTTTTTCTGGCACAAGTAACATCTGTTTCTTGGCAATCCTGTTTGACTTTCCAGAAGCTCCTCTTGCTCATTTTCCCTCCCCCTTGTATTTTACCAAATCTTTATAAGCATCTATGATTTGGAAGTCTTCCCAGGATTATTAAATATTTGTGTTTTACCAAGCACTTCTTGACTTTTTCAAACTTCGAGTTGTGTCCCACAGAAGATTCTGTGTTGCGATAGAGACATTCGAAAACTTGCATTTCTTATGAGGAAATAGTTGCCCAATTATTCACAGAGCATCCAAAATACGCTCGCATTGGAGAGCCTCAGGTGACAGCTGTGGAGTCTGCTTTGTTTATTAAGGATTTCTAAATACCAGGAGATTTTAAAGCATACTAATTTACTAGTCACATTTGGGCAAGCATAAATTATAGTACTTTTGATTTGTGGTCTTTGTAGCATGCAGGGATGAATTATTTCACTAATCCAACCACAACATTCTTGCATTGTTTTCCTTTTGTGGTCTGAGAAGACTGATCTTTACAGTGAGTAGAACGGAAGATTTGAACATGCCTTCCCAAACAGAGTATTTTCTACTTAGCTGTTGTAAGAAGTGGACAGTGCTATTGTTTTGACTACAGAGCATACAGTGGAAGCTTCCTTAAACTACAGCTAACCTTCTTTGATTCCAGTGAGCGAAGAAGGGTGCTGGTCCCTGCCTTAGTTGGCTTTGGCCCATTCCTCAGTGCTAGCCCTAGCTTGGTCTCCAGGTCCCAGCTGCAGCAATCTGCCTTTTTCCCACTCCACATGTCACCATAGAGGAGCCAGCCTGTTCAAAGGCTTGCTAATAAAGCTGTGATTATCTTTCTCAGTATTGTTAAAAGAGTAACTGTTTCTTAGTTGCACTTTCAGAAATTGCTTTGCTTTCAGGCACAGATTTGTTTTAGAAACAGATCTTTGGCTTTGGGGTGTGTGTGTGTGTGTGTGTTGCATTTGCAACTGGTCCAGCTTGTCCTTCCTTGGCTCTGGTCTCAGACCTGACCTAATGGGTGGATTAGACTAGCAAAATCGCAGCAAGAAAGAAAGAACATTTAGTCTTTCAGCAAATCCTCGGTTAGTCGTTGTTCCAGATTGCTAAAAGGAATTAATGGCCTACAAAGCCATTGTCCTTGTAATACTTCAGGAGTTTCGGCAGCCTTTGCTTTGCTGGTTTTGGTTTGTTGTCAGTACTTTATTCCAGTGGGGCCAGTTTTGATTTTTGTGGTCGTTCTGTTTGTGAAAGGATTGCAGCATCTCATGGCAGAGGCTGAAAGGCAAGCAGTTCTTGAAATTTTGGCATCCCACATCAGCTTTTCCTAGCTGCCCACGCACTTCAGTGTGCCTCTAATTTTCCTCAGGCTTTTGTCCAGCTGGAATCTAGCTTTCTTACCTTAACCTGAGCAGCTAATCATCAGGGTTTCAGAGTCCCTTGGACATGTGCCCTCCCTGTAGAGACATAACTGATCCTAAGTAACCAACAGGGAAAAGGCAGGTTCTTTTCCTTATCTAAGGATGTTCTGTCACTGGACATATTTTAATTATCAGCGCAGAGAAGAAGCAAGGAGGATATATTTTGGATTAGATTTGTCACCTGCAACTCCAGGTATTGCCACATTCCTTAAATAAGCAGGTCAGCTGTAATCTTAGAATCTCTTGAAATAGAGGTCGAGTGCAAGTTTCAAAAAGAGAATCAATAAAGTATACTTTCTATTCACCCTTTGTTCCAGTCTTTATTCTTTTTATATTCTTTTCCTTTGACCTCAGAAGAATTCTCTCATAATTCTGCTCAAAACCTAAACATCCAAAAACAATTCTAAAAAAAAATTTGGAATAAGTTGAATGTTTACAAAACAATTAAAATCCAGCAAGCAAGAACTTGGGCATAAGGACAATGAATTGTTTTGGTCTGCAGCAGGAGCGCTTAAAAGCCAAAAATATGTAATTCGTTAGCTGGGTGACTGAGGTGTGCTGCTAAAAGAACACCCCAAGGGACGGACCCTTAGAGTGAAAATCAGAAATGGTCTGAGAGCTTCTGTGCTTCTTCAGCGTTCGTGTCTCTGGGTTGAATGTTGCAAGAGTCTATCACATTCTTCTTTTCATATAGATTTCCACTGTCTGTATTCCAGTTTTCTACCCTACCTACCTCACAAACCATCCTCAAGCCTGTAATCTCTCCTGACTGCAGCAATCCATAGGGCACATGCTTCCATACTGTCCCCTCAAGAAAAGCTGGCATAGCCTTTTCCAGTGTTAACATTCTCACCACTTAGTTAAAACTATTTCAAACAAGGTTCCCTCCACCTCCTACTCACTGCTGACCTAGCAGCTTTCATCAGCAGTAGGTTGAAATACCAAATGCCATTTTTCCCCAACAGTGCCTGCATTCGCAAAGAGCACCCATTGACATTTCTGCCCGAAGTCCCACCTCATAGCTTTGCTCTAGCAGAAGAATTATCTGTTTTTGATTCTTTAATTGTGTTTCGACCTGTGTTGCTCAACTCATGATGAGTTTCAGAGGCATTCTCTTTTCTCTGTGATTAAAATTCCACTGGATGAATGCTGAGTGCTGTTCTCTCTCCATCACCAAATTCAGTATGCTGGTCCACCTGTTAAGCACAGTGGAAAAATAAATGCAATACAGAAATACGCTGTCATCAGCCTCTGGTGAGAACGGAAGTTTATGTTAAAGTGATAATTCTTTCTCAATCAAAAAAAGACATTCTTGCAAGTAAGTTTTCACAGGCGTTATACAAATCCCAGGGGGTAATTGAGAATTCCAGCCCTGCCTTTCCAAACAGAAATACATCAGGTAGTCCAAGGCAGAAAGAGAGGACTTTGTATTTGAGGGCTGTCCTTTGATGCTCAAATGTATTTCTCTGCGTTGCAGGTAGGCAGGCCCTAGAAAGCACGGCCGATAAACAGGGGCAGCTCAGTGCGCAGCCGGGGCGCGGGCGGGTGGGCCACTCGGTGCGTTTGCCTTGCAGAGCCCCCTACGGAAAGGCCGTGGACATGTGGTCGGTGGGCTGCATCCTGGGCGAGCTGAGCGACGGGCAGCCCTTGTTCCCCGGCGAGAGCGAGATTGACCAGCTCTTCACCATCCAGAAGGTGCTGGGCCCCCTGCCAGCCGAGCAGATGAAGCTCTTCTACAGCAACCCTCGCTTCCACGGCTTGCGGGTAAGGGAGCTGCCTGCGCTCTGCACTTGCTTCACACCGCGTTTGCGCTCTTGTCGTTGATTCCGTGAAGGCTGCTTTGTAAATAGGCTATTAAGAATTACAAGTGCCTTAGAATGTAAAGTAGAATTCTGGTTACACCAGTATTGAGTTATATAAATTCGTTTATTTTACTGTTAAAAGTGAATTATAAATTTACTTTCATTTTGTGAAATTTTTCGCATGCAGGTTAGCATTTATACCCAGCTTAGCATTGCTCCACCGCTGGAGTGTAGTGGCATAACTGTGTCTGGACTGGAGTGAAAAATCCCTGCTCTCTGAGGCTGCTGTGCCAGCAGTTTGGGCCAAGGGTGCTGCTACGGTGACAGAAGAGCTTCCTGCCACATGGCTTACATTGCTGCGGGCAGTGGCATAAGCTACGTGCTGGAGAAAAGAGTCGCTGCCCACGGGTATCCTGCATTGGCAGAGACTCACCAGTGTGTTGAAACTGGTCAGGTTGGGATGTAGAGCCCAAATGCTGTATATAAGTAATGACTTTGCTGTCTTTTAATAACTCCTGGTCAGTGATTGTAGGGTGACTTTTTGATCTTGATAAATGACCTGAAGTTGCTAATGTAAAATCCAATAAAGAGACACATAACTATTACATCTGAAAATTAAATATTTACATCTGAAAATAGAAAAAAAAATGCTAACATAGATGAGGCAGGAGTGCTGTTGGATTATGCATCACAATCTAAATGCGTACAGCATAATAATGTTTTAGAAGAAGCTGTCCAGTTTTAAACATGATGTAGAGAATATGCTGAAAAAAAGTACATAGAGATTTTAAAGCTCTACAGGTAAAAGCTTTTAAGTTTTACCCTGTAAAAGAGAAAACCAAGACAGGCAAGGAGAAAAGAAAGGGGATATCGTTGTCTTAAAATGTGCTAAAGGTTGCCATAAACTGGGTTTAGGTAATGATGGTAAAAAGAGTAGTAGTTGGCTTAATGTATTAATTAATTTAGCTACAAGGTTAGGTAATCCTTAAGCGTTTTGATCATGTTTGTAGAACACCTGTCAGTGGAGGTTTTTTAAAAAATAGTTTAGATACGATACTGTTTTAAAGTAGTGGGTGAGACCGTATTCTCTATTCTAATGGAAAGTAAATTTACTTAATTGAAGTCTGAATAATGGTTTAAATATGAAAAATACTACCAAATGTTGTTACAAAATGGTATTCATTAATTAATTCACGGGATCCCTTTTTTCCATGCCAGAAGACAGGATTAAAAGAGTTACTCTGAATGTAGTTTAGTACTTAATATTACAAGATGTTCTGATGCTTCTGATAGAAGACATGCTATATATGCTGTGGTCATGCAAATGTTGTTTACAAGCTTGGATCCCTCATTGGCTTTTCTCCAGGTAGAAACCAGCCCATAATGTTGAATTGTTTATCCCTAAGTTTATCTCCAAACTTCTTGAATCCCTACCTTACCATTACTGTGATTACTAGCCTATTGTGGTATGGGATTTTAAAATTTCTAATTCAAATACTGTGGTACCACATATGCGTATATACGTGATATATATGTATGTATCCAGAATAATGTTGGCATACTTCCTCATTTGTCCGTAAGTGCGTATTTCCCTTCTGCTGAGGATTAGGGAATATGTGGTGGTCCTGCTTTGTGTCCTTTTTTTGGCAGAGAGCATCCCCGCATTTTGAAGACTCAAGGACAAAATAATACAGGATTAAAAAGTATTAACAGGCTCATACCAGTATGGAAAATATACCTAGTAGTGTAGAATTGTAAATATTATTGCACAAATATAAGGTAAGTAAACTGGTGAATCCAAACCATCCCAGTAGATAGCAATTTCAGAGAACAGCTTTCTATGGCTTTAGCACATTTTCACATTTGCCTTATTATTCCAGATGTACAATCTTCTTTATAATGGTCATTCTGCACAGAGACAAAAATGTTACCCTCTTGGATAAGTGAAGGAGGATAAAAGGAGCTTGATAAAAAGGGTTAAATGGTTTGGGTTTGTTTAGAGTATTTCACTTCCAACAAGTTACAGCATCTACTGAATACCTGCTTGCCGCACGCCAGCGGTGGAAGACATGTGGAAAGCCTGCCTCGCTTCAGATGCTGCCTGAGATCAATATAGCCATTCTGAACTTGCAAAATAGCTCACTCACTGCTAAACCACTTTAAAAAGATGCAAAGTAAAAAGAAGGCTAAGTAGCACAGAAACTGTGGAGGAGTAAGCATATCCAAACTAATCTGCTTGCATTTTCCCTCCAAGCTCACATAATGTAATTTATGAGCAGTAAGGGCAGCGCAAACAGTGGCAAGTGACTCACGATAGTGAATCTAGCTCTTCCACATGTGCTAATAGTGCACATGGAAAGCATTCAACTTCAATAATCAGCATCTTTTGGAAATGAGTCTTTGTACTGGGTTGCTCTTTAAAGCATAGGTCTGAAGCAAGTATTTGGCGTAAGGAAGGTGTGTGTGTACACATATGTATACAGCTGGAGGGAAAGCTCCTTAGATGGGAGAGTTGGGAAGATGTGGAAGATGTGAGTGAGAACAGGTAACACTAATGTGCTAAAGATCTGTGCTGCTTCCTGCTCCTTGACTCTTCAGTCCAAGCGCATAGCAAATGTCCACTTACAATGTTTTTCTTCATATTTGTCATTTTTCTTTTGTCTGTTTTTGTAACTGACCCAAATTTTCTTCTTTTCTTCTATTTTCAGCTAGCTTAAATATAGCTCAGTGTTTTATGCGGGTATATTTTATGTATGACTGAAGCCCATTTGAACACACCGTAATGGCTTTTATGCACTGGGGTAAAACACGAGTGCCAGGAGACAAGGATGCTGCATGTTCCCTGTTGTCAGTGTTTTTGCTTTCATGTCTTAGCTCAAGAGGATTTTTTAGAAAATACATAGTTAGAATATTGATGGGATCAAAGTAGGCCACAATGAAGTACTTGTGCCTGTTATGCAAATCTGCACAACTCTGGGAACTGTAAACAAAGTGCCTGGCTGCATTGCTCTTTTTCCACACACACACACACAGACACACACACACACACAAAAGTGTATTTCTTTTGTTGCGAAAAACAATTTTAAGGACTCTATATTCCACTCAAGGGCTTGTCATAGTGCATTCATCTCCAAATATTTGCTGATATCTAGATGGATAAAATACAGCTAACAGGATTCATCATGTGCTACTATAGAGATTATTACGAACTTCTTAATCTCACTTGTATAGCTTTGGATAAGCTGATTAATGTTGAGAGGTTCTTTTTTTCTTTTTTTCCTTTTTTTGCATCTTTATCTTTTCTTTATTTATTTCCTCTTCCTTTTCCTTTTTTTATTTTCCTTTTTGCTTTTTTTTTTCACTCTCAAAAACAGATTCTCTAGTATTGAAATGCTCAATTTTCCCTAAAATCAGTATCAGTTAAGATTTCTTTTTTTATGCCACTCTCAGTATTCCAAGCCTTAATTTCTAATTCTGAACACTGACATATATATTTAGCTTTTAAATTTCAAGTTACCTCACTGAAATCAGTTTATCTGTTTTGTCTGTGAGGTCAACGCCTGGCATGCCCTGGGCATCTTTGTTGTCTGTTTCTTTTCAAATAGTTGTACTTGGCGTTGTGGCATAGCGATGAAGTGTTGAGCAAATTTTCATTCATTCAATTAAAAGAAAAGTTTCCCTTTTCATTTCGTTTGTCTATTGGGCTTGTTTACACACCAAGCAAGATCAGTTGGTGGCAAACCCCACTAACCTGGCAAAGCTCAGATCGATAATATGCAGGCTGCTCTGCATATGTTGACATCCTGTGCTGGTTGAGCTGCTGTCTTGTCTTTGCAACTTAGAGGGCTTCTCAGATCAGTTCTTCTAAATCAGTGGTGTATCTAAGTCTGCTTGTTTTTTTTTTTCTGGCTTCTCATATCAATATACCAATAAGTTTGTTCTTTCTTCTCTTTATGCTGCTTATTTCACCACTGCTGTTACTTACAGAGTCTTTAATCTGAGTCAAATGCTGAGACCGTTGACCAGAGATTTGTGACCTAGTGATTGAGTACCTAACTTTAACAGGGGAGATTTAAAAAAAAAAAAAAAAAAACTCTTCATTTACTTATCTAATTAAAAAAAGAAAGTATTTTGCACGATAGATTTGCTGAATATTTGTGTAACCACTATGAAAGCTCCAAGTGGTTTACATTATAATGCCCTACATTGTTGGGAATGATTGTACTAATATTGCCATGAGGAATGCAGTCATTCAAACTTAGGGAAGGATGCAGCTGCAGAAATATACACTGTACTTAACAACATTCATTTAGTTTTCTGCAACTCTGCTTGTTCTGACTATTCAACAAATTACTGAAAACTATAATGTTTTAAAACATTATTGTTATGTCCTTCTTTGGAATGTTCAGATTTTTTTATGTATTGGTAAAGATGTGGCAAGCCTTCATAACCTCTAAAGATAGTAATTAGAAAATAAAAACAATTTTTTTTCTTCTTCAAATCATGCCTGCTTGTTGTCTTTACAGACAGTTAGGCCTCGTTTCCAATACTGCCTTCATCTGGCTTAGTCAAGACTGTAGCTGACAAAGATGCCCTGTAGCAGTGTGTAGTAATTCCCGTGGTGTTGCCAGTTCTTACTGCAGCCTGACCAAAGAAGCAATGCTGAACATTAAATCTCTGCATAGTTGCCCTGCGGTTTTCCTGAAGTTTTTCTCTAAAGCATTTTGGAGTTGTTGGTTAATCTTTGATATGTAGTTAATACATATGAAAGTACATGTACAATGTACAACAATGAAGTTATCTCAAAGCTATTTTTAATCTTCCTTTGGGGGAGGAATATTACTTACATTAATTCTTGATCTATTTTAAACCACCCACTCTTTGTCAGTCCTAATGCCACAAATATATTTATAAATCTAACTTGATTATTTTTCATTTGTGAGAAATTCTGCTGACTAGCCTACTAACGAAGAATACTTTCCTTGCTGGAGTAGATGCATTCTGGTACTTTGGGTATTTATGTTTCACCGCAATGTTTTGTAATGTTTCAGAAAGCACTGTGACTTTTAGCACATAAGGTTCCACATGATTCCCATTAAGTTACATGCGTTTACTCACTGTATAGTTTCTGTCTTTTGAAAGATTATATTGATATAGGTCTCGTTTACCTTCTCAGCATACTTATGCTAAATTACTTTTACAGTTCCCTGCAGTTAATCATCCACAGTCTTTGGAGAGAAGATACTTAGGAATTTTAAGTGGTGTGTTACTTGACCTTATGAAGGTAGGAAAATGTATTTCTTTTCTTCCTGTAACATATAGGGAAATATGTGTTTTATCTTTGTTTCCTAATATAATACATTTTAAAAGTATTTTTGCACTTCATTTTAGGCTATTTTGATATTGTTGCTGTTCGTAGCAAGGATTTGGTATTTCCAAGAAACAAACATACCCTTTGCAAAAGCCAAGGAAAGTCTGTTCAATTTGTTTGATTTGATACACAAGGTATATTCCAAACAAAAGAGTGACCAGCATTTGCACCAGCATGCATGGACACTGATGACCATTCACATGCAAAGGTTACTTCAGTAATGCTGCAGCGTGAGTGCTCAACCTGTGATAAATTTAGGTAAATCCAGGTTGAAAGAAGATTATGCTAAACTGAGGAATTGTGCATTTGTTGCTGCATACGCAGGAGGGTATGGACAGTTGTCAGAGATGAAGTTGATGCACAGTAATTTGTTTATATGTCTGAGCTCTTAATCTGCTGTCTGCTGTTTACCCCTGCACAGCCCGTATGTTAGATTGTTCTCCAGTCCTGTTTTGGAACAAGTCAGCTAGTTCCCTGTGGTCACCCTAGGATATGATTCTGGGATGGTTTCCTGCAGGTCATCTGGACCTGTCTCTTTCCAAAAAGGTCCCATACTGTGAAATATTCTGCTGCTCATTGGTGCCGTATTCCTGGGTATGCAGTGCACTCTCTGCACTGTGCTATAAAAACGTGGCACTGGTAAGCTGCAGCATAAGCCTCCCATTATTTCAGCCCCACTAAGCTGAAGAAACATCGCAATAACAGAAATTACATTTTTAGAGTCACAGGGGTGCCATCCAAGAGTTAGAGGCAAGCTGGGACAGATACGATGAAGTGCAGATAGGGCTAATCAACTCGGAATGAATTGTGTGATCCCAAACCAATCTGTGCCACTTGTCTTGGATACCAGAAGCCATCTCTTTGAGGGTATACTTGGCTTTTTACTTGACTTTAAAGGTATTGATGTAATTGGTAGAAATCCACCAAACTTGTTCCTGGGTTTTGTTTAACACAATCAGTGTTCAAATGACTTTCATTTATTCTCCATTCCTTATAAAAAAGACTCAGCACAGCTTTTTGCCTTGGCTTCATGTAGCCTGCAAATTTAGGCTCCTTGGGTATATGTGATTGCTTGTTAGAGCATTCTCCTCAGTTCTGTAGTTCACAGAAAACAGCTTTTTCTTGGCATTGTAGATAACTGTAGCTCAAGCTTTAGTTGAGCATAGATGCAGAGCAGTTTCAAGATTGTTCTTCAGACCATTGTTAGGTGTGCTTGGGTTATCTTTTTTCTTTGTTTTGTCATATAGCATTTGTGTTACACTTCAGGACTTTTAGGTTCTTTTGCTGCATTACAAAAGTTATGAAAGTTGCAAAATGAAGAGCTTGAATGTTAAAGAACACAGGTTTCCAAATAATTCCATTCCGCTTTTGTTGAAGTAATTTTTAGTATTTCAGGGCTTCTATACAGGGGACGTTTGTCTGTTTAACCTCTATTATTCATTTCAAAAGTTGGAAAGTTGCTAAAGATTGAGCAAAACACTACAAGAAGAGAAGAGATGTGTGGTTAATTTGGATGCTGTGAATGCTGCACATACTTTTCTCTGTGCCTGTCTTGTCTCCAGACACGGGCAATCTGGCACATGCCCGCACTTAGTGTGTTCCTCATTATCTGCATTCCCAGGAATCTCGGGTCTGATTACTAGATTACTGAGTACGCTGAGCTTCAACTTATGCTAAATTCAGCTGAATCTATGAGTTCTTGGTCTGTCTCTAAAGAGGGCATTTGTGGTCTAGAGGAATGAAGAGGCATCCATGTTGAGTAAACCTGAATTTTACTCTTCTAGACTAGAGACGTCTGGTTCCATGGTTTTCCATGCACCCTTCCTCCCCTCTGCTCCCCAAACCACGCTGTTACACAACCGTGCATTTGGGAGTTTAGGAGCAAACTTTGCATGTGACAGCTTGGGAAACAAGACATTGAATATTTCAGCCTTTTCCATATCACCTGTAATTTGCTCATCTCCCCTATTCACCAATGTATTTTCTCTAAATATGTAATTTCCCTTTGCTACTAAAATAGTTGTAGAAGCCCTTCTTGTTACCCTTTTATGTTCCTTGCTTCCTCTAGTTCCAGCTTTAGTTCCAGACTTTGGCCTTCCTAATTTCTTCCCTTCTGTTCCAAAGCAGTGCTTTTGTATTCCTCCTCCACATCCTGTCCTTGATTCTCCTTACATCATCCCTTTTTGCATTTTTGTTCATTAAGAAGTTCCTTGTTTAGCCAAGCTAACCTACCAAATTTTGTGGTCTTGTGTGTAATGAGATGGTTTATTCCTGAACTCTCAAAGTTTTCCTTTCTAAATCAGCTGACTTGCTTGGACAGCTATCCTTGGACGGCAGCTTTTCCAGGGATTCTGCCTGGCAATCCCCTAAAGAAGTTGAAGTGTGCTCTTCTAAATCCTGCCTCCTATCCCTGCTTCTTGTCTTTCCACTCTTCTTTTGAATCCTGTCCTTAATCACCTCAGGTCACTGCCACCCAAGTTGCCTTCTTTGACCAGATTTGTCATCAGTTCTTTACTGTTGATGAGGAGTGAGTCAAGTAGACTATGGTTCACCCCTTCCTTGTTTGGCCTCTCCAACAGCTGCATTAGGAAATTGTCACCAACATAGTCTAGAAATCTCATGGCTTATCTGCATGGGCTGGATGTCTGGATAGTTGAAATTCACTGTGAAGCCAAGGGCCACTGGCTAGGAAATTTATGCTTCTTGTTACAGAAAGTCATCCACTTCATCCTTTTGGACGCATGGTCTATAGCAAACCCTTTCTCTAATATCTCAAGTATAGTTTTCACTTCTAATGCTGC